GGGGGAGGGTGTTTTGGTTTTGGGGTCGAAGGGGGAGGGTGTTTTGGTTTTGGGGTTGAGGGAGGAGGGTGTTTTGGTTTTGGGGTCGAAGGGGGAGGGTGTTTTGGGGATTTTGGTGGTGTTGGTGGTGGACAATTAGGAACATGATCATTTGAACTCACTGTAGTGAAAAACACAAGGGTAAGAGAGAGAAGAAGAGCAAAAGTTGCAAATGCATTAGGAGAAGCCATTTTAGAACTAAATTCCCCAGGCAGTGAAGTGCCTGATTGAAATATACTTGCGTTAACTTATAGATGGAGGTGGTGGATATAGTGAACACAATTAGGGTATTTATAGACTTTCTTTTTCTCTGACAAAAAAAAAACTTTTTTTTTCTGAAAAAATATATATATACATTCGTCAAAGACACCCCATGTGTGCAAATAGCGTACACTGTTCTGGGTAGCAATAGGTCATATTCAAATTTGGAGCATTCTGAATTTTGTGCTTTCTAATCTATGGCACCAAAACAAAGGACTCCCGTGTTCTTATTAGGCAAAGAAGGTTTACACATCTTGATCGTGTCCTTATTTTGCGAAATACTTCCAAGAATCAAGGTTCTCCTTCTACTAAAGAGAGTTACCAGTCGACATCGATTTTGAGTGTGTAGATAGCTCTCTGTCACTGAACGACGCGCCTCTACTAGTAAGAGATATCACTTTGACAACATGAAGCCCCTATCTTGGTTGTGTAGATAGATGAGCTTTACCACCGAATTCATAATGAGAGATATCACTTTCACAACAAGGAGTAATTATGTAATGTAAACTAGTAAACTACCAAATGTGTCGACCTAATAACAATCAAACTGAAGCCTTCCGTTCTACTTGCTCACTGGCTTCACACCCAGAAGATAAATGGTTCTCCACTGTCAATATTTTGTTATTCTTCTTTTTTTTTGTGAAAATATTTTGTTATTCTTTAGTCACAAGACAAACAATATGAATATAAAAAAATACAATCCATCCATGAAATCTTAATTCTTTTGGGAAGGAAAGCTTTCATGCACTAATCCCAGATTTCTAGGAAGCTTTAATTATTATGACTTTTGAGTGGGCCAAGGGAATAAATTAGAATGAAGCCTTTTTCCCTTAATCATAGTTTAACAAGAAATAAATTTTTTGTTTTGCACATGTAAGGTATTTTCTTTTTTACTTAATGAAAGACCTAAACAAATATCTTTTTTGGGGCCCTAGGCCATAGTCCTGGCGGCCCAAGCTCAAGGGTAGTGACAAATATCTGATGCGTAAAGATATGAAAAAGCAACTTATCAGACAAAAACAAGACAAAATACCTCAATCAAATTCAAAGGTCCATTATTTAGCCAGACAAATAATGTCGACCAAAGTTTGAGCAACAATCTTCATCATGATCTATATTACAATTTACAACGAAGAACGAGACGAGAATTTTCATTAATGTCGACCAGTGAAACGATAGATAAGATGTGCTTCATTTAATGCAGTTAATTTTGTTGTTTGGGTAAACAAAAAGAACAGTGCAGTAAAAATTTACCTCACAAATGAACAAATTACATGGCAAAGGGCACACGTAGGCATGATTCTCAGAAACAATGGTTAAACATGAACAAACGCGGTTTTGAAATCAAAGCACAAAACACTAATTTTGATTGACAAAATTTGCACCTACAACTTTCGATCTAATTTTGGAATCCATATGGGACATCAAAAAAGCGTTTAGGTTAACGTGTTTATAGCTCAGAACAAAACATAGATTTATTTCGCTGGCTTACAATTAAATTTATAATTTGATTAGATTAATAAAGTGGAAAACAAAGTATAAAAAGGATTCGATTCCTTGTTTTTCAAGTACTAGCCAGCAAATCCTAATTTGATGAACTTAAATTTCTTAATCTTTTCCTAAAAGGATTCCGATGATCATAGCCATCTTACTTGCTTATAAATAACATGAGAGCCAGGTTGTTTGTTCAATCATAATTAGAGAATAGTAATTACTTGTTCATATCAGAAAGAATTAATCATGTATGCTCGTCGAGAAGCACTTGCTCCTAGAAGAAAAAGGATGACAATGGGGCAAAGACTAAGCAGCATCCATGCGCTCATCTTGTTATCCTTCCTGGGGATGACGTTTGTGGCAATGCTGTGTTTAATTTTTGGATTAATTCACTCTTTGATTTTTACCTAATGATGAGCAAGGTATCGGCTTTTGCATCAGCTAGGTCTAGTTTTGTTTTCAGTTTTCAGCTTCGGTTAGGGTTTGTTGTTGTTTTAGGACCTGATTAACTTGTTGGACCTTTATGTTGTTTCTCACTTTTTCAGCTTTGAGCTGGTTGGTTGTAAATTTGTTGGGTATGCCTTGGGCTGCCTCTTGGTTTGTTTGGTTTTAATAAATTGTATTTGTAAAATCGTATATTGTATTTGTCAATTGTAATTTCTAACAATAATAAAATGTGTGAATTTTTACAATTGGAAAATAAATATGATTTATTTTACAAAAATATATACATTACCAAATAAAGAAATTTGTCTCCATATAGAATTCAAACTATTCAGTTCGGTAGTGTAAACCTAGAGACGGGTCCGGTAGTGTAAACCTAGAGATGGGTCAAGTACATGAATATGTTAGAAGAAAACGATGTACAGAACAATGACACCCAGAGAAATGTCATGTCATGTACAGTGACAGAACCGCGTGGGGATTAGAGGGGTCCCAGGCCCCTACTCATCTCTCTCTCTCTCTCTCTCTCTTAAATAATTTAGAGTGGTGATTTCCCCACTCCTTTTTCTCCTATTTTATCCACTTACACTCTTTTTTTATAAGAGTGTAAGTGGATAAAATAAGAGTGGGGAAATCATTGCCCATAATTTAATGTTGTCTTATTTAAAGCTTATTTCTTGATTTTTATTTCAGGCTATATTAGTCAAGGGGTTTGAAAATGATTTTCAAGATGCTCTCATTCGTCACTCTCCTTATTTTATATTTTACAAGAGGGTCTTATCTAACCTCAATTCTTGGCTCCGCCACGGATCATGTAGAAGATATATTTTTTGTGACTCTAAGCTAGCATGTATTCAAACTTAAAATACTTTAGCTTTCTCCAATATCCCACCAAACTAACTAAAACAGTCCAACATTACATTCAGTTTTTTTTTTATTCCTTTTTAAAGATAAACTATATTGCATTGAATAAACTTAAGTAACAATACAATCAAATTCTGAATCAAAACAAAAGGTTCCTCAAACGAAACCAAATCATGATCAGTATCGAGATCAAAACATACCAAGCTATGAGCTACATTATTGTAAGTACGGGGCACATGAGACAACGATGCACTTTGGAACCTAGCTCAATCCTCATAGCTTACACCAAGCAGAGATGAATTACTCAGTTTGAGCTCTAATGTTCCAATATGCCCCACCACTCAAGTCTCCAACTTCTTGTTGAGGAAAAACTAATTATATATGTGTTGACATGAGAGAAATGAAGTTGAAACAACACCTTTTTTCCCCCTCCTCATTGTTACAATGTTGAGAAGTTATGATCATCTTTTGGTTAATTTGTTTATTAGGTATGCAGTGTGTTAAATTGAACGACTTAAGTCATAGTCATTAGAAAACAATGTATATGATATGAGTCATGTTAATCTTACCATAAAAGTCACGTATCTAACTTTTTATCAATTTATGGAGTTTGTAAATAGGATCCCACTATAATTCACACTACGTAATACATATGTATTTAGTTGTGATGTTGTGAATTTAAACTACACATTTAAAAAGCATTGTAAGGAAACATTACTGATAAATATATATGTTATCCCGATTACAAACATCATAAATCGAAGTGTCCTTAATAATATCTAGTGGTTCTTCAAACTACTCAATCGTAGACTTACAAGAAAGAGCACACCTAGCAAGTCTATGAGCCACTTCGTTAGCTTGATGCCGCGTGAACATAAAACTAAACCCACTATGGTCTTTAACCAGGGTCTTTATATTTTCAATAATACTACCAAAATAGGATTGGTCTTCATCCGACCGGTTGTGTAGCCCAAATTTCTGTGCAAGCATCACAGGCTAACAGCCTCTCTTGCCGCATAAGCCTCAGTGTCACCAGCCACTAAAGCCTGCGGAATGTGCACCACAGCAGCAGCCACAAACTGCCCCTTCTCATCACGCACCACCATTCCTACACCTCCAGCCTCTCCCACCGCCCCATCAAAATTTACCTAACACATCCACTCGGAGGGGGCCGCCATGGAATGTGGTTATCACGAATTTTCTCCTTTAACTTTCTCATGCGAGCTTAGGGACAGTCCTACATCTATGTTAACATGGGCTATAGTCCGGGTGACTTGATATTTTACTAGTCCAATATTAATACTTCGCTCACCAAAGCACACCTCCACACACCCCATCCCAGTGATCCCAGCCACAAAAAATCTTTTTTTTTTTTTTAGTTAACTAATCCCACAAGTGTGGCAGTAAGTAAAATAAATACCAACCCCACATTAATATTTAATACTCTGTCCTTTTTAGAAAACACACTACTTTTTTCTGTCCAAAAAAAAATAACCTTTTCTAGTGGCACATAAAACGTCAATTCATTTTTTTTCTTATAAATTTTGGCTGCCTTCTTTTCATTTTTATTTTCCAAGTTGGCTTGGCTCTAGATAAATTAAAATGGTTCAATTTTTTTTTTCTTCTTTTGTAATAGATAATAAATGCTTTCAATTCTTTTCCTTTCATGGAGAAGTTTATCATGTAATTGCTAATTGACCTTAAAATTCATACTTCAATGAAATTCACTAGTATCGTCAAGTTGTCTAAATTTGTATGTAAGGTAAATTTAGCCCACCATATTTTCAAATCCTGGGTCTATCCTTGTACGAGCCCTCTTGAACTCCTCTCTGCATCCAATTGCAAAAGCACCAATTTCTTGTGGGCTCTTTTGTTACCATTCCACAACTTGTTATTGCGATTTGTCCAGACAGCCACAAAGTCAACAATATCAAATCCCGCACTTCCCCTTCTTTCTCCCTTAAGTCCATCTGCATCCAGGTTCTGTTTCCTATTCCCTCCCCCAACCACCCACACCACCCACACACCCCAACCACAACCCCAAACCGCCCCACCCCAGACACACACAGAGCGCTCAGAGGAAACCGCCACCTCTCTCTTCATCAAGTTATCCTTGGTGGGCAGAATATCATGGGCAAGCTTCCAACAGAACACTTTAACCTTGTTCGGGGTCGATGACTTCTTCCT